AGAGCGACTCCGTCTCAAGGAAAGGAAAGAGGAGAGGGGAGGGGAGGGGAGGGCAGGGGAGGGGAGAGCAGGGGAGCGGAGGGGCTCGAACCTGCAGCCAGCCCCTGAGCGCCCACCTGTGCCCATCTGTTCCTTCCGATCACTCCGTACCCCCATATTTCTGCAGAGCGGCCTCCACAGCCCAGACACCACCACCACCACCAACCGTTTTCTGCTCACTGTAAACTTTCCATCCTGCCACCCCGGCCCCGGTGAGGCCAAAACCACAAGCGCCTGCCTGTCAGGTCAGAGCAGCCGGCGTCGGCGGCGTCGGTTAGAGGCGACTCCTTGATGAGTCACCGTGCAGCTCAGAGGCCTGCTCTGCTGTCCTCCCTGGGGGCTGTACGGTGGCCGCGGGGACAGACCCAGGATTGCAGCAGAGAGACGGGGGAGTTTGCAGGATCCTCAGATCACACAGCTGCACACAGGAGGGGGTCGGGGGAGGCCGGGGTGCAAGAGTTTCAACAGACGTGGTGTTTAAAGTGGAACTGGGTGCAGATGGCGACCGTGAGTTTAATCGACAAATTCCAGCCCAGTGGTGCTGGCTGACGCCTGCAATCCCAGCACGTTGGGAGGCCGAGGCCGGACCATTGCTTGAGGCCACCAGTTTGAGACCAGCCTGGGCAACGTAGCTACAAAAAAGATGAGTTGGGCATGGTGCCATGCACCTGCAGTCCCAGCTACTCAGGACGACTGCCTGAGGCCAGCAGTTCGAGACCAGCCTGGGAAACATAGCAAAACCCTCTGTCTACAAAACATAAAAATATGACCTGGGTATGTTCACACACACCTGCAGCCCCAGCTACTCAGGAGGCTGAGGCAAGAGCATTGCTTGGGGCCAGGACTGTGAGACCAGCCTGGCAAACATACAAAATGCTCTGTCTACAAAAACATCTAAGTATTAGGTGCCATGGTGGCAGTGACCTTTACTCCCAGCTGCTCGGGAGGCTGAGGCAGGAGGATTGCTTGAACCCCTCGTACTGGAAGCTGCAGTGAGTTACGTTAACACCACTGCCCTCCAGCCTGGGCAACACAGCAAGACTCCATCTCTATAAAACAAAAAACAAAAAACAAAAAAATAATTCCAGGGCCCTCTTATGTCTACCTCCGTCCATTTTATTTTATTTTATTTTTGCTTTTTTTTAGAGACAGAGTTTCATCAGGTTGGCCAGGCTGGTCTTGAACTCCTGACTTCAGCTGATCCGCCTGCCTCAGCCTCCCAAAGTGCTGGGAATACCGGCGTGAGCCACCGCTCCTGGCCCATTTTATTATTTTATTTTAGTTTTGTGAGATGGAGTCTCGCTCTGCCGCCCAGGCTGGAGTGCAGTGGTTTGATCTCGGCTCACTGCAACCTCCGTCTCCCGGGTTCAAGCGATTCTCCTGCCTCAGCCTCCCGAGCAGCTGGGAATACAGGCGCCCGCCACCACGCCCGGCTAATTTATTTTGTATTTTTAGCAGAGACGGGGGGTTTCACCATGTCGGTCAGGCTGGTCTTGAACTCCTGACTTCAGGTGATCCTCCTGCCTCAGCCTCCCAAAGTGCTGGGATTAGCTGCGTGAGCCACCGCGCCCCACTTATATTCTCAAAGTAAAAATAGTGTTTGTCCGACACGCTTCACAGCAGCGCCAAGTAGAACCCCGAGAAACCAGGGTCCCCTTTTTCCCCTGAAGGTACCCAGCTGGCCGTGGGGTGCGGGGCTGACCGCTGCATAAACCATACGCCTCACACCTGGCCAGGGCAGAGAACTTCACCCCGAAACGGAAACTCTGGGCCATTTTAAAAGCAGTTAGAGGAAGTTCCTTGCGCAGCTGTTGGTGAGAAGGCGCAGCCTCGTCTGCAGGAAGGAGCAGGCGCGCGGAGGCGGGGGTGACACAGGAGCTAAAAGCCAGACACGCTTCGGAGGCTGCGGGTGGGTCTCCTTGAAACTCGGACTGTGTGTTTTCTGCTGATAGACGCTTCGGGGGACACGTCCCTCAGATGGAAGGTTCACACCCAGGCTAGTGCTGAGGGGGTGCGAGGAGTTCACAGGAGGACCCCGCTGGGGGCTGAGGGTTGCTTTGTGCTTTCTGTCCATGCGGGCCAGTGAGTCTGGTCCCGAGGTTTGTACGTCCTGAGCCTTCCCAGGGCAGCCTCCAGCCCCGTGCTGGGTCTTCTCAGAGTCTCAGCCTCGGCCAGGCGCGCTGGCTCACACCTGTCTTCCCAGCACTTTGGGAGGCGGAGGCGGGCCGATCACGAGGTCAGGAGTTCGAGACCAGCCTGGCCAACGTGGTGAAACCCCCCGTCTCTACTAAAAATGCAAAATGAGCCGGGTGTGGGGGCTCACGCCTGTCATCCCAGCACTTTGGGAGGCTGAAGCGGGCTGATCACCCGAAGTCAACATTTCGAGACCACACTGTCCACCATGCAGAAACCCCATCTCTACTAAAAATGTAAAACTTACCCCGGCAGGGTGGGACAAACCTTTAATCCCAGCACTTTGGGAGGCTGAGTCAGGCAGATCACCTGAGCTCAGGAGTTGGAGACCAGCCTGGCCAACGTGGTGAAACCCCGTCTCTACTAAAAATACCAAATTAGCCGGGCGTGGTGATGGGTGCTTGTAATCTCAGCTACTCGGGAGGCTGAGGCAGGAGAGTCGCTGGAACCCGGGAGGTGGAGGCTGCAGTGAGCCGAGATGCCGCCATTGTACTCTACCTTGGGCCACAAGAGTGAAACTTTGTCTGAAAAAAAAAAATAGAATAGGGCCGGGCGCGGTGGCTGACGCCTGTAATCCCAGCCCTTTGGGAGTCAGAGGCGCGCGGATCACCTGATGTCAAGAGTTTGAGACCAGCCTGGCCAACATGGTCAAACCCCGTCTCTACTAAAAATACAAAAAATTGGCCGGACGCGGTGGCTCACGCCTGTAGTCCCAGCACTTTGGGAGGCGTAGGTGGGTGGATCACGAGGTCAGGAGATCAAGACCAGTCTGATCAACGTGATCAAACCCCGTCTTAAAAAAATTAATTAATTAAAAGTAAAAATACAAAAAATTAGCCGGGCGTGGTGGTGGGCGCCTGTACTCGCAGCTACTCAGGAGACTGAGGCAGGAGGATCGCCTGAACCCGGGAGGCGGAGGTTGCAGTGAGCCGAGATCGCACCACTGCACTGCAGCCTGGGCGACGGAGCGAGACATCCTGAAGACACCCAGACAGCCCACGAGGTGGGGGGCACCCCGGCTTCTTCGCGGCGGGTGGAAATGGCGAACCAGATGTCAAAGCAGTCAGATTCTGCCTGGGACAGCAGGGAGGAACAGCAGGTGTGTGGCAGGTGCAAACACACTTTCCTTCTTTCCTGTTCTTTTTTGAGATTGAGTCTCTCTCTGTCCCCCAGGCTGGAGTGCAGTGGTGCGATCTCAGCTCACTGCAGCCTCCGCCTCCTCGGTTCAAGCGATCCTCCTGCCTCAGCCTCCCGAGTAGCTGGGACGACAGGCGCCCGCCACCACGCCCGGCTAATTTTTGTATTTTTAATAGAGACGGGGTTCCACCATGTTGGCCAGGCTGGTCTCGAACTCCTGACCTCACCATCCGCCCGCCTTGACCTCCCAGAGTGCTGGGGTTACAGGCGTGAACCACGGCTCCCGGTCAAGAAAGTTTCTGTGAGAGTCAGTCTCTGTGTAACTTGGAAAGCGCTGCACGTCCCAACATCCTCACGGTCCCCGTGGGGACGCCACTGTGCCATCCCTGCATTTCCAAGTGGAAGCGAGGAGCGAAGGAAGGGCTAAGTGGATGCTGACCCTGGGTTCCGGCACCCACAGGGAGTGGCAGGCCACTGAGTTCACGTCAGCCAAGCCCCGGGTCTGGCTGCTCCCAGGGGTCCTGGCGCAGCCTGTGTCTCTGTGCAGCCGAGTTTCTGGGTGCTCCGGTGATGGGGGTCCTGGCGCAGCCTGTCTGTCTCTGTGCAGCCCTGTTTCTGGGTGCTCCAGTGATGGGGGTCATGGAGCAGCCTGTGTCTCTGTGCAGCCCTGTCTCTGGGTGCTCTGGTGATGGGTGTCACAGAACAGCCTGTCTGTCCAGCCGAGTTTCTGGGTGCTCCGGTGATGGGTCCTGGAGCAGCCTGTCTCTCTGTCTAGCCGAGTTTCTAGGTGCTCCGGTGACGGGGATCCTGGCGCAGCCTGTGTCTCTGTGTAGCCGATTTTCTGGGTGCTCCGGTAATGGGGGTCCTGGAGCAGCCTGTCTGTCTCTGTCTAGCTGAGTTTCTGGGTGCTCTGGTGGTGGGGTCCTGGAGCAGCCTGTGTCTCCGTGCAGCCCTGTTTCTGGGTCCTCCGGTGGTGGGGGTCCTGGCGCAGCCTGTCTGTCTCTGTGCAACCGATTTTCTGGGTGCTCCAGTGATGGGGGTTCTGGAGCAGCCTGACTATCTATGTCCAGCTGAGTTTCTGGGTGCTCCGGTGGTGGGGGTCCTGGCGCAGCCTGTCTGTCTCTGTGCAGCCCTGTTTCTGGGTGCTCCAGTGATGGGGGTCCTGGCGCAGCCTGTCTGTCTCTGTCTAGCCAAGTTTCTGGGTGCTCCGGTGATGAGGGTCCTGGCGCAGCCTGTGTCTCTGTGCAGCCGACTTTCTGGGTGCTCCGGTGATTGGGTCCTGGCGCAGCCCGTGTCTCCGTGCAGCCCTGTTACTGGGTGCTCCGGTGGTGGGTGGTTGTTATTTGTTCCGTGAGGTTTCATGTGTGCGGCCGAGGGAGGGAAGGAGAGAGGGAGGGAGGGAGGGAGGGAAGGAGGGAGGGAGACAGGGAGGGAGGGAGGGAGGGACTGAAGGAGGGAGGGAGGGAGGGAAGGCGGAGGAAACGGAGGGCGCGCGCGGGCGGGAGGAGACAGCGGGGCCCCCGGAGCGTTTCCACCCCTGGCTCCCAGCCTCAGCGCCCAGGCCCGTCCCTTCCGCCGTCGGCGCCCCTCACCCCTGACCACGGCCCGTTCCCTCGCAGAGCCGCCCCAGGATGCAGCCCCCCGCGAACGGCAGCAGCGCGGGCCCCGACAACGCGACGCTGGAGATGCTGCGCGACCCGGCCATCGCCGTGGCCCTCCCCGCCGTGTACTCGCTGGTGGCGCTGGTCAGCATCCCGGGGAACCTGTTCTCGCTGTGGGTGCTGTGCCGGCGCATCGGGCCGCGCTCCCCGTCCGTCATCTTCATGATCAACCTGAGCGTCACCGACCTGATGCTGGCGGCCGTGCTGCCGTTCCAGATCTACTACCACTGCAACCGCCACCACTGGGTGTTCGGGGTGCTGCTGTGCAACGTGGTCACGGTGGCCTTCTACGCCAACATGTACTCCAGCATCCTCACCATGACCTTCATCAGCGTGGAGCGCTTCCTGGGCGTCCTGTACCCGCTCAGCTCCAAGCGCTGGAGGCGCCGCCGTTACGCGGTGGCCGCGTGCGCCGGGACCTGGCTGCTGCTGCTGGCCGCGCTCTCTCCCCTGGCGCGCACGGACCTCACGTACCCGGTGCGCGCCCTGGGCATCGTGACCTGCTTCGACGTCCTCAAGTGGTCGATGCTCCCCAACCTGGCCATGTGGGCGCTGTTCCTCTTCACCATCTTCATCCTCCTGTTCCTCATCCCGTTCCTGGTCACCGTGGCCTGCTACACGGCCACCATCCTGAAGCTGCTGCGCACGGACGAGGCGCACGGCCTGGGGCAGCGGAGGCGCGCGGTGGGCCTGGCCGCGGTGGTCCTGCTGGCCTTCGTCACCTGCTTCGCCCCCAACAACTTCGTGCTCCTGGCGCACATCGTGGGGCGTCTCTTCTACGACAGGAGCTACTACCACATCTACAAGCTCACGCTGTGTCTCAGCTGCCTCAACAACTGCCTGGACCCCTTCGTGTATTACTTCGCGTCCCGGGAATTCCAGCTGCGCCTCCGCGAGTACCTGGGATGCGCCTGGGTGCCCTCAGACCCGCTGGACGCTCGCCCAGAGAGCTTCTTCTCCGCCAGGACCACGTCTGTGCGCTCCGAGGCCGGCGCGCGCACAGAGGGACCCGAGGGAGCCTCCAGGCCCAGCCTCAAGAGGCAGGAGAGCGAGTTCTGAGTCCTGGGGCGCAGCTTAGAGAGCCGGGGGAAGCAGCTTGGAGAGCCTGGGGCGCAGCCTGGAGGGCCGGGAACGCAGCTTAGGGGGCCGAGTGCGCAGCTTGGAGAGCCGGGGGAAGCAGCTTGGAGAGCCAGGGGCGCAGCTTGGAGAGCCAGGCACATGGAGAGCCAGGGCGCATGGAGACGCCACGGTCCTCGAGTTTCAGAGAGGGCAGGAGCATCCTTCCCAGGCACCGCAGAGGCATCGGTGGGGAACACGGAAGGGTCTCCAGGCTGCGTTCCTTCCAGGCAGTGCGGAGGCGCGCGGTGGGCCTGGCCGGGGTGGTCCTGCTGGCCTTCATCGTCGCCTTCTTTGCCCTTAACAACTTCGTGCTACTGGCGGACGTTCTGGGGCGTCTCTTCTACGACAGGAGCTTGGAGGGCCGGGGGCGCAGCTTGGAGGGCCGCGGGAAGCAGCTTTGAGAGCCGGGAGCGCAGCTTGGGGAACCCGGAGCGCAGCTTGGAGAGCGGGGGCGCGCAGCTTGGAGAGCTTGGGGAAGCAGCTTGGAGAGCCAGGGCGCATGGAGAGGCCATGGTTCCGGTCCCCGAAGTTCAGAGAGGCCAGGTACCTTCTTCTCAGGCACTGCAGAGGCCTGGTGGGGAAGGGTCTCCAGGCGTTATTCCTCCCAGGCACTGCAGACGCCCGGTGGGGAACGGTCTCCAAGCTTCACTCACGGTAGGGAAGGAAGCACAGCGCAGAAAGGGGCAAGGGGCGCTTTGTTCTGCTGCACAGGGTGGCAGCTTTCGGTGGCTCTGCCTGGCAGTGCCGAGGGACAGCGTGTGCCACCATGCCTGGCTAATTTTTGTTGTTGTTTTTTTTTGAGAGGAATTTCGCTCTTGTTGCCCGGCTGGAGGGCAGTGGCACGATCTCATCTTCGTCCAACCTCCATCTCCTGGGTTCAAGCAATTCTGCCGCCTCAGCCAAAGGACAGTGTGTACCACCATGCCCGGCTAGTATATATAAATATGTACATGATATATGTGTATAATATATAAATATATACATAATCTCACAATACGTAATATATACATATATATACATATGTAATATATACATATTACATATTGTGAGATTATGTATATATTTATGTATATTACATGCATTATATGATATATATATTTTGATGTTAGGTATATATTTTTATATAATGATATATGTATATATATAAACATTTTTGAGATGGAGTCTCACTCTTATCGCCCAGGCTGGAGTGCAGTGGCGCGATCTCGGCTCACTGCAACCTCCGCCTCCCGGGTTCAAGCGATTCTCCTGCCTCAGCCTCCCGAGTAGCTGTGATTACAGGCACCCGCCACCACGCTCGGCTCATTTTGCATTTTTAGTAGAGACGGGGTTTTTCCATGTTGGCCAGGCTGGTCTCGAACTGGTGACCTCAGGTGATCCGCCCGCCTCAGCCTCCCAAAGTGCTGGGATTAAAGGCGTGAGCCACCGCACCCGGCTACGCTGTGTTTTTATGGGGCAGTTGTTCTGACCTGGCTTGGGGGACCCCTGCCTCTGCTTCTGCGACTGCCTGATGGGGAAGAGGAACCCATCAAGCCCCTGAAACGTGCTCAGGCTTCCCCGAGTCAGGGCGAGCACTTCGGAACCCCGGGACTGGAAAGGACTCTCTGTGAGGTCGGTTGACGTGCAGCATGTGATTCCAGAGTTGCCGACCTCCTGCCCATTCTCCGGGTCCTTTACCCCGTGGAGGGGCTCAGCCATCCCACGTCCGTCCAGCGTCCTGGGAGCAGGCAACGGACCTGAACCATGAGACCGTTTGGGGACCGAACACCGGACACCGGCGTGGACCCCAGGAACCTCCAGGGGCATCAGCCGCTGAGACCCGCCCCCAGCCCCCTGCTGTGTGTGGGTGGCGAGCAGGGTGTGTCTCCGCCCCAGACATGCCTGCACCAGCCCCAGGACCTGAGCCACTTTGGGAAAAAGCAGAGGCCGCTCTCCCCATGGGGATCAGAAGGTACATTGAATTCAATTCCAGGCCCTCCTGGGAGAGAAAGATGCTTCTGGATGCTGGCAGGGGCCAGCTGCACCTCTGCCCAGGGGCTGGCTTTCAGTGCCCGGCCCCTCCGTTTCTGGGCCTGGGGGATGCTGACGGAGGCTGCAGCTGATGTTCTGACACGGTCTGTTGCTGTCTCTTCCCTGCCCTCATCGCTATGGAGAGAAAACGGAGATGCTTTAGCAGTACAGTGACTGATGCCCCCTCCCCCCCAAATCCGTGTCCCCGAGAACATCAGGACAGGACCGTGTTTGGAAACACGGTCATCACAAACGGATTTAGTAAGGTACGACCATTCCGGATTCCGAATGGGCCCATTCCAGTGTCCCCATGAGACTGAGGAGGAGACACAGACGGGGGGGGGGCCAGTTGGAGATGGAGGCAGAGGCTGCAGTGATGGGGCCGCAAGCCCAGGGGTGTTGCAGCTCCCAGGAGCCGGGAGAGGCAGGAAGGAGCCTCCCCTAGAGCCTCCCGAGGGAAGGAGGGGGAGACTGCAGTGATCGGGCCGCAAGCCCAGGGATGCTGCAGCCCCCGGGAGCTGGGAGAGGCAGGGAGCATCCTCCCCTGGACCCTCCCGAGGGAACCGGATACAAGTGAAGTGGATTGATCTGTGGTTCCCCAAAACGATATATCCATATCCATGTCCTGACCCCCAGAACCTGCGAAGGAGACCTTATTTGGAAAAGCAGGGTTTGCAGATGTAAGTAAAGGACATTAAGACGAGATCATTCTGGATTATCTGTGTGGTCCCTAAATCCCATGACAGGTGTCCTTCTGAGAGACAGAGAGGACACACAGACTCAGAGAAGGGCACGTGGAGAGACAGGCAGAGGCTGCAGTGATGGGGCCACAAGCCCAGGGATGCTGGAGCCCCCAGGAGCTGGAAAGGCAGGAAGGACCCTCTCCTAGACCCTCCCGAGTGAGCGCACCCCTGAGACCCCTGTACTTCAGACTTCTGCTCCCCATATCTGCAGGAGAATAAACTTGTGTTCAGTCCTCAGTTTCCGTGAAATTCATTTCAGCAGCCCCAGCAAATGCGTGTGTGTATGTCTGTGCACACACACACACACACACACACACACACGTTTAATCCACTCTGGCATCCTGGAGCTGTCACGCAGGAAAGTGCAACATGCTGGTTCCTGGAGGGGTCATTTCGGGAGCCCCAGCATGTCCTGGGCAGCATCTCAGGGAGGGCTGTTTGGCCCCAATCCCCCAGACATGGTCACTCAACTCAGATGAGGGCTCCTGGACGAAGAATGTCCCTGTAAAGCTCTTTTTGTGTTGTCGTTCATATTTTTTCGGAGACAGGGTCTTGCTCTGTCACCTGGACTGGAGTGCAGCGGCATGATCTCGGCTCACTGCAGCCTCCACCTCCCGGGTTCAAGTGACTCTCCTGCCTCACTGTCCTGCGTAGATGAGACTACACGTGTGTGCCACCAGGCCCGGCTAATGTTTGTATTTTTAGTAGAGACGGGGTTTCGCCGTGTGGGCCAGGCTGGTCTCGAACTCCTGACCTCAGGTGATCCACCTGCCTCGGCCTCCCAAAGTGCTGGGATGACAGGTGTGAGCCACCGCGCCTGGCCTTTCATTATTATTATTATTATTTAATCTGGACAGCAGAGGCAGCTTTTTTTGCAACACTCAGAAGACTGGTGGTTCCTTCTCTCCGTCAGCCCCTCAGGATGCACAGACGCTGCTGTATGAATCACGTCCTGAAGCCATCCAGGGTCCCCGTGGTTTCTGATTTTTCTGGATTGCAGGACCAGAGGTTGGTTTGTTTGCTGAGACCGTCTCCCTCTGACGCCCGGGCTGGAGTGCAGTGGTGTGATCTCAGGTCACTGCAACCTCCGCATCCCAGGTTCAAGGGATTCTGCTGCCTCAGCTTCCCGAGTGGCTGAGATTACAGATGTCTGTCACCATGCACGGCTAATTTTTGTGCATCTATACATATATCTTTTTGAAATGGAGTCTCACTCTGTCACCCAGGCCCGACTGCAGTGATGCAATCTCAGCTGACCGTAACCTCTGCCTCCCGGGTTCAAGCGATTCTCTTCCAAGAGCCTCCTGAGTAGCTGGGATGACAGGCTTGTCACACCACTCCCAGCTCATTTTTCTATTTTTAAGACACATCGGGTTCCACCATGTTGGTCAGGCTGGTCTTGAACCCCTGACCTCAAGTGACCTGCCCGTCTCGGCCTCCCAAAAGGATAACAGGCTTGAGCCACCGCGCCCGGCCAGGACCAGAGTTATTTATAAAGTACCAAGAGCTGTGGGCCCTGGACGTCGCTTTCATAAACTGACAACCCGATCCCCTCCTTCAAAAGGCTCCAGGTCACCTTCCCAAGGGCTGAGCTGGAATCACACCGGCGTTCGCACCTCTGCCCTCTGCCCAGCCGTGGTCTCTGGTGGAATGTCCACGTGTCTACAGAGAAATGACCCACTGTCACCAGGCGCGGTGGCTCACACCTGTCATCCCAGCACTTTGGGAGGGCGAGGTGGGCAGATCAAAGGGTCAGGAGTGTGAGACCAGCCTGGGCAAGGTGGTGAAACCCCATCTCTACTAATAATTCAAAAAAATTATGCGGGCGTGGTGGTGCGTTCCTGTCGGGGTCCCAGCCACTCGGGAGGCTGAGGCAGGAGAACCGCTGGACCCCGGGAGGCGGAGGTTGCGGTGAGCCGAGATCGCAGCACTGCACTCCAGCCTGGGCCACAGAGCGAGACTCCGTCTCAAAAAATAAAAATTAAAATTAAAATGAAGCCACTGCTCTGAGCTGGTCCACAGGCAACAGGGGAGGTGTCCCTGGAAACAGTTTTTCTCCACACAGGGGTGAAGGAGAGGCAGAGAGCACAGTGATGTGGCCACAAGCCCGGGGACACCTGGCGTCCCCAGGCGCTGGGAGAGGCAGGAAGGACCCTCCCCTACAGCCTCCAGAGGGAATGGGATAGAAGTGACATAGATGACCTGTGGTCCCCCAAAAAGGTATGTCCATGTCTGGATCCCCAAAACCGGTGGATGAGACCTTATTTGAAAAAGCAGTGTTTGCAGATGTAACAAAATAAAAGACATTAAGATGAGTTCATCCTGAATTGGCTGCGTGGTCCCTAAATCCAATGACAGGTGTCCTAAGAGAGAGAGCAGAGACGCAGAGGAGAAGGCCCCGTAGAGACGGAGGAGGCAGAGACTGCAGTGATGGGGCCGCAAGCCCAGGGATGCTGGAGCCCCCAGGAGCTGGGAGAGGCAGGGAGGACGCTCCCGTAGAGTCTCCAGGGAGAACTGGAGGCTGCGGGAGAGACCCAGACGTCCCACAGAAGGGGTGACGTCGCCCCCTGCTTCTCTAGACGGCCGCAGGGCTGAACCTAGAAAGCGAAGCTGATCCAGAGACGTGAGGACGGGAACGTCTGAGTCAGCAAGCCCGGGTGTGGGCTCTGGGTGTGTCTCCTGCCAAAAAGAAAGAAACCCGTGAAAAACCACACAGTAACACGTTCGCGGTACGTCTGAGGACACCTCCCAAACTGCCTTCTAAACAAAAACGCGACCTTGCATCAGAGGAAGCCTCGGTAAGATCCTTCCTCCGCAATGTGTGAGAACACCGAGCCCCCCACCCAGTTTTTTTTCCCCCCATTATTAGCATTTCTGCAGACACTCGGCTACAGAGAGCAGCCGACACACCCCACTTTAAGCTGTGACTGTTTCCTGGTGACCGACCCACCCTGTTCACTGGCTGAGCTTCGAGTAAAAGGGACACACATTTCTATTTTATGGTGGAAAACTTTGGTTCTGTTTTTGACAGGACATGCAGAGAGGGAGGGTTCCAAACAGCACCAGCCGCACGGTGGAATTTTAAACATGTCATAATATGGATCATGGATCACGGTGGCAGCGTGGAACGAGCTCTTAAGAAACTATTTGGGGCCGGACGCGGAGCCTCACGCCTGTCATCCCAGCGCTTGGGGAGGCTGAGGCGGGAGGATTGTTTGACTCCAGGAGTTCAAGAGCCAATCTCGGCGACACAGTGAGACCGTCTGTCTGTAAAAAATAACGAAATCAAAATTGAAAAAAAAGCATCAGCGTTGATGATGCTTCTGTTTGTTCCCAGAGCAGAGGGCAAACGTGTTTCGGTCTCTGATTTCTGCGGGGCTTGCATTTTAAACGGGCCCCATTTGATGCTGGTTGCAACGTCTTAGCCTCCCCATAGGCCTCTAGTCGTAGTTCATTTATCCTGCTAGAAAAAAAAGAAAACACCATTGCATTATTCGGCATACTCTAGAGGGCCACATATAATAGGATGGATGCATTGATGGATGGATAGATAGACAGATAGGTAGATAGACAGATAGACAGATACAGAGACAGACAGACACACAGATAGGATAGATAGACAGATAGATGGACAGACACATATATTAGATAGATACATAGATATATTACATATATAGAATTCATAAATAGATTAGATAGACACATAGGAGAATTCATAGATTAGATAGACAGACAGACAGATAGATAAATAGAATTCATAAATAGATTAGACAGATAGATAGATAGATACATATATAGATAGATAGATACATAGATAGATACATACATAGATAGATAGATAGATAGATACATAGATAGATAGATAGATAGATAGATCGATTGATAGAGGACTTCATGGATAGAGGAATTCAGAGCAAGAGAGAGAGAGAGCAGAGTTTAAGGCCGGGCGCAGTGGCTCACGCCTGTAATGGCAACAGTTTGGGAGGCCAAGGGATCACGAGGCCAAGAGATTGAGACCATCCTGGCCAATATGATGAAATCCTGTCTTCATCAAAAACACGAAAGTTTCCTGGGCGTGGAGCTGCGCACCTGTAATCCCAGCGGCTGCGGAGTCTCAGGCAGGAGAAGTCTCTGGAACCTGGGACGGGGAAGTTGCAGTGAGCTGAGATCGTGCCATTGCAGTCCAGTGTGGGTGACGGAGGGAGGCTTGGTGAAAGAAACGAAGAAAGAAGAAAGAAAGAAAGAAGAGAAAGAAAGTGGAGCAAGGGAGGAAGGGAGGAAGGGGTGTTCATTAAGAATTAATTTACACCATCACAAGGTCCCACAACAGGCCGTCTGCAGGCTGAGGAGCTAGCAGAGCAAGCCCACATCCCAAAACCGAAGAATCTGGAGTCTGACGTCCGAGGGCAGGAGCCTCCAGCGTGGGAGGAAGATGGAGGCTGGGAAGTGAGGCCGGTCTCCCTCTGCACATTTTCTACCTGCATATATTCTAGTCCAGCTGGCCGCTGATGCGATGGCGCCCACCCACACTGAGGGTGGCTCTGGCTTTCCCAGCCCCCGACTCCAATGCTCATCTCCTCTGGCCACCCCCTCACCGACACACCCAGGGCCGGTATTTTGCATAGTTGAATCTTTAAGTGGACAGTTAGTATCCGCTGTCACCACCAGCGAGAGGAGAATCTCTTGAACCCGAGAGGCAGAGGTTGCAGTGAGCTGAGATCAAGCCAGTGCAACACAGCGAGACTCTATCTCAAAATAAATAAAGAAATAAAAATAAAAAATAAAAAACCCAGCAAGCAAAGCATAGTCACCTCCATGGCGTTTATCTTACACGCACTGCGGCCTGTGAGGTTCTGGTTCCTTCTACGGCGTCAAAACGAAGAAATTTAGTCCTGCAAAAACCTGAAATCGCAATCTATGTGCTGCTGTTTAAAAAAATATTTTTTTTTTCAAAAACTTACCATATTTAAAAAGACATTACAGGGTTTCCATGCTTTTTTTTTTTTTTTTTTTTTTTTTTTTCCTCCCATGGATCCGAGTCTTGTGTGAGTTCTGTCAATACGGCTTTCCGTTTTCCCCAGAATGTGCTGGAAATGCTGGGATTTCCAGAGTTATCAAAATTAAGGGTATAATTGTTCTCTGCAGAGAGACGTGACTGCAGTATGCTCTGGGCACATGACTATTATTATTATTATTTTCTGTGACTATTATTATTATTATTTTCTGTAACTATTATTATTATTATTATTTTCCGTGACCATTATTATTATTATTATTATTATTATTTTCTGTGACTATTATTATTATTATTATTTTCCGTGACCATTATTATTATTATTTTCTGTGACCATTATTATTATTATTATTATTATTTTCTGTGACGTTGGGCTGCTATGCCCTCATTATTACTTCTGACATTTTATTTCCCAGCGTTTTGCGTCGCAGAGGCTGGGACCCGGCACCCCGAGTCTGCACGGCGCTGCGCGGTCCGCGCGGCAGGTGGGAGGGAAACCCCCGGGGGCGAAGAAAACCCTCCCGGCCCGGCTCACGGGCGCCCCCTGCCGCCTGCGGCGCGCCACGGACCCGCCGACCTGGAGCTGGGGTCCGTTCCGGGGGCGAAGCACGGCCGACAGCTCGGCGCCCCCCGACCTCGCGGCGCCCACCCGGCGCCCACAGGGACTCCCCGCGCCGCGCCCAGCGCCACGCCCGCGCGGATGCCAGTGTCCACGCCCCTCCCGCGAGGAGCCCCGTCTTCCCCACCACCCTCCCTCCGGGCCCGCGGGGACCCCCATCTCCACGCCCCTCCCACCATGCCCGCGGGGACCCCCATCTGCACGCCCCTCCCACCATGCCCGCGGGGACCCCCCATCTCCACGCCCTTCCCGCAAGGAACCCCGTCTTCCCCACGACCCTCTCTCCGGGCCCGCGGGGACCCCCCATCTCCACGCCCCTCCCACCATGCCCCCGGGGACCCCCCATCTCCACGCCCTTCCCGCAAGGAACCCCGTCTTCCCCACGACCCTCCCTCCGGGCCCGCGGGGACCCCCATCTCCACGCCCCTCCCACCATGCCCGCGGGGACCCCCATCTCCACGCCCCTCCCACCATGCCCGCGGGGACCCCCCATCTCCACGCCCTTCCCGCAAGGAACCCCGTCTTCCCCACGACCCTCTCTCCGGGCCCGCGGGGACCCCCCATCTCCACGCCCCTCCCACCATGCCCGCGGGGACCCCCCCATCTGCACGCCCCTCCCGCAAGGAACCCGGTCTTCCCCACGACCCTCCCTCCGGGCCCGCGGGGACCCCCATCTCCACGCCCCTCCCACCATGCCCGCGGGGACCCCCCCATCTGCACGCCCCTCCCGCAAGGAACCCGGTCTTCCCCACGACCCTCCCTCCGGGCCCGCGGGGACCCCCTTCTCCGCGCCCCTCCCACCATGCCCGCGGGGACCCCCTTCTACACGCCCCTCCCGCAAGGAACCCCGTCTTCTCCACGCCCCTCCCTCCGGGCCCGTGGGGACCCCCATCTCCACGCCCCTCCAACCTGGATGGGGAAGAGGAGTGACCCCGGACCCCCCAGGGATGGGGGTGGAAGAGTAACCGGAGCCCCCTAAGGACGGGGGAGGGGAGAGTAGCCAGGGACCCCAACTCCACGCCACTCGCCCCTGGCCTAGAGGGGGCCCCAACTCCAGGACACTCGCCTCTGGCCTAAAAGGGGCCCCAACTCCAGGACCCTCGCCCCTGGCCCTCGGGGAACCCCCATCTCATCCCCATTCTCAGACGTGGTGCCCACAACACCCCCTGTCAGACCCCGGCCCCCCCGTGCCGATAAGAAACCCCCAGCCCCACAGCTGCGCACCACCGCAGCCACAGGAACGCCAGCATTTCCATGCTCCACGTGGCGCCCGCAAGGAACCCCAAACATCCACGCACGCCTTTCCTCCCAAGGGAGCCCCCCAACCCGCGCGTCCAGCGTGAACGTCAGTCTCCGCCGGGTGGGCGGGGCGCGCGCCAGGGGCGGGGCCAGGGCCCGGGAGGCGGGGCCTGGGCGGAGTTTCATCAGCAGTAGGGGCGGAGCCGGAGGGGAGTGTGCCCTGGGTGTGGCCTAGAGGCGAGGCCATGGGGGCGTGGCTTGGGCGCGGCCTCGCGAGAGGTCGATGGAGGCGTGGCTTGGGCGTGACCCCGCGGGCGGTCGATGGAGGCGTGGCTTGGGCGTGACCCCGCGGGCGGTCGATGGAGGCGTGGTCTGGGCGTGACCTCGCGGGAGGTCGACGGCGGCGCGGCTTGGGCGTGACCTCGCGGGAGGTTGATGGCGGCGTGGTCTGGGCGTAACCTCGCGGGAGGTCGAAGGCGGTGTGGTCTGGGCGTGGCCTCGCGGGAGGTCGATGGAGGCGTGGCTTGGGCGTGACCCCGCGTGAGGTCGATGGAGGCGTGGTCTGGCACTGACCTCGCGGGAGGTCGACGGCGGCGCGGCTTGGGCGTGGCCTCGCGGGAGGTTGATGGCGGCGTGGTCTGGGCGTGACCTGGCGGGAGGCGTGGCCTGGGCGTGGCGTCGCGGAGGCGGAGCTCCGGCCGCGCTATTTCCGGAGGCGCGCTGCTCGGTGCTCGGGACTGCAGCCGCCCGACTGCGGCGTGGACGCCATGGTGCTGTGCCCGGTGATCGGGAAGCTGCTGCACAAACGCGTGGTGCTGGCCAGCGCCTCTCCACGCCGCCGGGAGATCCTCAGCAACGCGGTGCGGCCTGGGCCTGGGCGGCGCGGGGGACCGGGCGCGGAGGGGCCGAACCAGCCGGGCCCGGCGCCTTAGGACCCCTGGGGATGGGGGAGGGGAGAGTGACCGGGAGCCCTGGGGATGGGGGAGGGGAGAGTGACCGGGACCCCTAGGGATGGAGGGGGGGGAGAGTGACCGGGACCCCTAGGGATGGAGGGGGGACAGTGACCGGGACCCCTGGGGATGGGGGAGGGGAGAGTGACCGGGGGCCCTGGGGATGGAGGGGGGACAGTGACCGGGACCCCTGGGGATGGGGGAGGGGAGAGTGACCGGGGGCCCTGGGGATGGAGGGGGGACAGTGACCGGGACCCCTAGGGATGGAGGGGGGACAGTGACCGGGACCCCTAGGGATGGAGGGGGGACAGTGACCGGGACCCCTAGGGATGGAGGGGGGACAGTGACCGGGACCCCTGGGGATGGGGGAGGGGAGAGTGACCGGGGGCCCTGGGGATGGAGGGGGGACAGTGACCGGGACCCCTGGAGATGGGGGAGGGGAGAGTGACCGGGGGCCCTGGGGATGGAGGGGGGACAGTGACCGGGACCCCTAGGGATGGAGGGGGGACAGTGACCGGGACCCCTAGGGATGGAGGGGGGACAGTGACCGGGACCCCTAGGGATGGAGGGGGGACAGTGACCGGGACCCCTAGGGATGGAGGGGGGACAGTGACCGGGACCCCTGGGGATGGGGGAGGGGAGAGTGACCGGGGGCCCTGGGGATGGAGGGGGGACAGTGACCGGGACCCCTGGGGATGGGGGAGGGGAGAGTGACCGGGGGCCCTGGGGATGGAGGGGGGACAGTGACCGGGACCCCTAGGGATGGAGGGGGGACAGTGACCGGGACCCCTAGGGATGGAGGGGGGACAGTGACCAGGAGCCCTGGGGATGGGGGAGGGGAGAGTGACCGGGAGCCCTGGGGATGGAGTGGGGGGAGAGTGACCGGGACCCCTAGGGATGGAGGTGGGAGAGTGACCGGGACCCCTAGGGATGGAGGGGGGACAGTGACCGGGACCCCTAGGGATGGAGGTGGGAGAGTGACCGGGACCCCTAGGGATGGAGGGGGGACAGTGACCGGGAGCCCTGGGGATGGAGGGGGGAGAGTGACCCAGGACCCCTAGGGATGGGGAAGGGAGACTGACCGGGGATCTCTAGGGATGGAGGGGGGAGAGTGACCCAGGACCCCTAGGGATGGGGAAGGGAGACTGACCGGGGATCTCTAGGGATGGAGCGGGGAGAGTGACCCGGGACCCGGAGGGATGCGGGGAGAGGGCAGAGTGACCCGGGATCCCGGACTCCTTGGATGGGGAAGGGTACTGACGTAGGTCTTCTAGGGATGGAATGTGTCCTGGTGGCTGAAGGTTGGCTTTGCAGGTGGCCTGTGGGAAGTGTTTCCTGGGACCCTGGGTGGGGGAGATTTGATTGCGGGTGGTAGGCACCTAGGCCGCGGGTGTCTGCTTCTTCCGGAAGCCGAATCCCACGGAGGACAGCACTGGAGGGTTCACAGCTGATGTGCTCCTGGTCGCCCTGATGATTTTGGACGGCTTCCAGCCATCCCTGCTGAAACATCCAGTTTTTCATTCATAGAGCTATTAAGGAAGCACAGCTTAGGTTTCAGCGGTTTTCACTTAGAAAAAAATGGCAAAAAGAAAGAGAAAAAAAAGTGAAAACATGACTTTGAAGACATGTAGCCAGAAACATTAGAATTGAATTCAAACTGGAGAAAATAATAAAAGCGAAAACCGCTAGGCAACACCAGAATCTCACGGCCGGTGGGGCGACCGGTTGTGAAACATAATTTTTCTTTTTCCAGTTTTTCCAATTTTACTGGAACAATAATTATGGTAAGACTGATTTGCTTTTTTTTAGTTGTTATTATTTTACCTTATTTATTTATTTAGACACGGAGCCTTGCTCTGCCGCCCAGGCTGGAGTGTAGCGGTGCAATCTCAGGTCACTGCAACCTCCACCTCCCGGGTTCAAGCGATTCTCTTCCTCAGCCTCCCGAGTAGCTGGTATTACAGGCGTGTGCCACTACACCCGGCCGATTTTGTATTTTTTTGTAGAGATGGGGGTTTCTCCATGTTGGTCAGGCTGGTCTCAAACTCTGGACCTCAGGTGATCCGCCCTCCTCGGCCTCTGAAAGTGCCAGGATTACAGGCATGAGCCACCGTGCCTGGTCAAGACTGATACTTGGCCTAATTATTTGTACTCAGTGCAGGAAGAATAATAATTAGTTTTTTTAAAATTTGTATTTATTGATTTATTTTTGAGACCGACTCTCGCTCTGTTGCCAGGCTACGGTGCAATTGTGCAATCTTGGCTCAATGCAGCCTCCACCCCACTGTCCCCCTCCACCTCATTCAAACGATTCTCCTGCCTCAGCCTCCCGAGTAGCTGGGATTACAGGCGCACACTACCACGTCCGGCTACTTTTTTGTATCTTTAGGAGATACAGGGTTTCACCATGTTGGCGAGGCTGGTCTCGAACTCCTGATCTCAGGTGCTCTGCCTGCCTCGGCCTCCCAAAGTGCTGGGATGACAGGTGTGAGCCACCACACTCAGCCAAGAATAAATTAATTTTTACACAGGCCCTTTATATTGGCTTTGATGGAACTTTGTTCCACACAAGGAATCAAGATAGGACCTTTTCTTATTTGAGATGGAGTCTCATTCTGTCGCCCAGGCTGGAGTGCTGTGGCATGACCTCAGCTCACTGCAACCTCCGCCCTACCCTGGGTTCAAGTGATTCTCTGCTCAGCCTCCCAAGTAGCTGGGATTACAGGTGCCTGCTACTGCACCCAGCTAAGTGTTGTATTTTTAGTAGAGACGGGGTTTCACCGTCTTGGCCAGGCTGGCCTTGAACTCCTGACCTCCTGATCCAACCACCTCGGCTTCCCAGAGTGTTGGGATTACAGGCGTGAGCCACCGCGCCCAGCCCCAGATGGGAGCTTTTTACAGTTGAGCCCACCATGGGTTTGCACCATTAAATACCTATGAGTTGGGCAAATTCCTTTCCTCTTGAGGTTTCGAGATAATTTGGGGTTCCTGGCCTGTGAGAAAGTGACATTCTTAGCACAGATCGGGAACTGCGTAGGGTGGCTCTGTACACAGAAGAGGAAGCCAGTTTCCAACGATTTTATTGGCTCCGTAAGTCAAGTTGGATTTTTTTTTTTTTTTTTTCCTGAGACAGAGTCTTGCTCTGTCACCCAGGCTGGAGTGCAGGGGCACAGTCTCGGCTCACTGCAACCTCTGCCTCCTGGGTTCAACCGATTCTCCTGCCTCAGCCTCCCAAGTAGCTGGGACTACAGGCACGCACCACCACACACGGTTAATTTTTGTGTTTTTAGTAGAGACGGGGTTTCACCATGTTGGCCAGGCTGGTCTCGATCTCTTGACCTCGTGATCCACCTGCCTTGGCCTCCCAAAGAGCTGGGATTACAGGCGTGAGCCACCGCACCTGGCCTCAAGTTTGATTTTTGAAAGGAGTGCACACCATTCCAGCCAAAGCCTTGGCAAAATAACCAGATTTTCCTATAGTGTCCTGTTACTATAGAAGTTGTTTTTTTTTTTGAGACGGAATTTCACTCTTTTGTCCAGGCTGGAGTGAAGTGGCGTGATCTTGGCTCACTGCGACCTCTACCTCCCAGGTTCAAGTGATTCTCCTGCCTCCCGAGTAGCTGGGACTACAGACGCGTGCCACCACGACCAGCTAGTTTTTGTATTTTTGGTAGGGAAGGGGGTTTCACTATTTTGGCCAGGCTGGTCTTGAACTCCTAACCTCAGGTGATCTGCCTGCCTCAGCCTCCCAGAGTGCTGGAATTACAGACATGAGCCACCATGCCTGGCTGATTTTTTTTTTTTTTTTTTTTGAGATGGAGTCTTGCTCCATTGCCCAGGCTGGACGGTAATGGCATGATCTCGGCTCACTGCGACCTCCACTTCCCAGGTTCAAACGATTCTCCTGCCTCAGCCTCCTGAGTAGCTGGGATTACAGGAGCCCAGCACCACACCCAGCTAGCTTTTGTATTTTTAGTAGAGACGGGATTTCACTATGTTGGCCAGGCTGATCTTGAACTCCTGACCTCAGGTGATCCGCCTGCCTCAGCCTCCCAAAGTGCTGGGATTACAGGTGTGAGCCACTGCACCTGGCCAAGAAAAGAGATTTTTTTTTTTTTTTTTTTTTTGAGACAGAGTTTCCCTCTCGTTGCCCAGTCTGGCGTACGATGGCGCCATCTCAGCTCACTGCAACCCCTGCCTCCTGGATTCAAGTGATTCTCCTGCCTCAGCCTCCTGCGTAGCTGGGATTACAGGTGCACGCCACCATTCCTGGCTAATTTTTCATATTTTTGGTAGATACTGGGTTTCACCATGTTGGTCAGGCTGGTCTCGAACTCCTGACCTCAGGCAGTCCACCCGCCTGGGCCTCCCAAAGTGCTGAGATCACAGGCGTGCGCCACCCAGCCCGGCCAAAAAGCAGATTTTTATGGCACTTACGCAAATAACTTTATTGCCATAAATGAAGAAGACTTCAAACGTGAAAAAGATCACCCCGGTCTCCTGTTAGTTGAGTCCATTCAGTTAATTTCTGTCCTGCTTGATATGGATGAGTATTTCAGCTTTTCAAAAATCCCAGACTGTTTTTCCTTTCTATTCTGATGTGAGAGTCTCTAAAGTTCTCAGAAACCTGCATTCCCGAGCATCTGTTAGAGCTTTACAGCTGATTATAAAACCACCTTTTAAACAGCATCAAGCCAGGCACCGGGGCTCACACCTGTCATCCCAGCATTTTGGAAGGTCGAAGCAGGTGGATCACCTGAGGTCAGGAGTTTGAGACCAGCCTGTCCAACATGGCGGAACCCCATCTCTACTAAAAATACGAAAATAAGCCACACCTGCTGGCGGGCACCTGTATTCCCAGCTCCTTGGGAGGCTGAGGCAGGAGAATCACTTGAACCCAGGAGGCGGAG